AGCTGTAGCCCCACTTTCCCTCCCTCATCTCCTCCCATGCCCTTCTCCAAGTCTACTGATAGGGGAGGTCCTCCTTCCCTTTCTTCTGACCCTAGCTTATCAGGTCTGATCAGGACTGGTTGCACTGGGCTGACAATTTTTGTACCTCAAGAAAGTCTGTGTGTGTTGTGGGGGGTGTCTCTAGAATGAACCCAAGGCCTCTTGCATACTGGGTAAGTGCTCTATCACTAAACCACACTCCCACCCCTAATTCTTTGTTTGGCAAAAGCTTTGGTGGATAAAGGGAGTTGCCACCAAAGCTTGACAATCTGAGTTCAAGTTCTAGACCCAGTATAAGAAGGATGAAAGGGCATCTACAATACCATAAAGTCATCCTCTGGCCTCTCCATACACACCATGCATGCACACCCCATCACAAAATAATACTGTCATCTTTTTTTTTTTAATGTAGACTTCTTCAAATTCTAAAAGTCTTACAGTAAAAATAATAATAATAATAACAAATGCTATATTCCAATTTCCTGTTTGTTTCAGAATTTGTGACAGAGTGATCAATAAAGCCATTTCAAACACTAAGGTATGTTGAATCAGGACATTGTTCAGGGTAGGAGGAGACAGAAGCATGAATTTAAGGACATAAGGAAAAGGTACAAAGTTTTATAACATCAGAAGGACTTATTCATGCCTCTAAATAAATATTAAAGGCTAGTGAAATGTCTCTGTGGCTAAAGCTACCTGCTGCCAATTCTGGTGGGCTGAGTTTTATCTCCTAAGCCCACAAGATGGAAGGAGAAAACCAACTCCAACAGGCTGTCCTCTGAACTCCATACTTACACCATGGAATTAGTATGCACGCACAGATACACACACAATGTGATAAACATCATATAAAATATTAGGACTCAAATATAGATTCTACTAGTGCTTTTGGAATGATGTAACAATGTATCTTAAATGTCAGTATTTATAATATGTTGAGCACTCTTTGCATTTAAAACAAGAATGAAAGTTTTAAAGAACAAGTTTAAAATGTGCTTAGGGTACATGGGTTCATATGGTCTTTAAGGAAAAGCAAAAAGAGAAAGGAGGAAAAAAGAGAGGGAGGGAAGAAAATTCTGAGCTAGATCATGATTTTTTGCAAGATAAAGTAGAAGATAGGCAGCTTCCCTCAGACCCAGTTTTGAGCATGGACTGCTGGAGCGGAGCGGAGTTTAGTATTTTCTGTCCTCTTCCTGGTTCTGAATGAATTCATGGAATCTGATCCACAAACAACTTATACGACTACAACCATTTAACATACCTTGACAGCCAGCGAATCAATAACTGGGGTTGGCCTTTGCTGATTACAGCTGTCCCATCAACTCTCCCAGAGAAAACAACTACAGGCTTTCTTGGGATTCTCCAAAAAGACTTGGGGGCAAAACCTAGGAAGCCTCACCAATTTTGTATTTAGCACTCAAAGATAAATTGCTTGGACAACCGGCAAGATGGCTCAGTGGGTAAGGGCACTTGCTGCCAAGCCTGATGGCCTGAAACCCATCCCCTAGACCCACATAGTAGCAGGAGAGAACTGATTCCCAACAGTTCTCCTCTAACAGCCACATGTACATTGTGGTATGTTTGTCTCTGCAAACACACATGCGCACACACACACATACACACACAAAGTAAATAAACAAAATAAATGTAATTTAAAATTTTCATCATTGGACATATCAAATTGAATGCATCTAATTGACCTGGCTCATGCAAAAAAAAAAAAAAAAAGGAAAATTCTTCATGCACTGTAGAGTTAATTCTTTTTAAATAGTAACTATACAAAGAAGTTATTTGAACAGATACAAATGCAAGCCCCAAATACCACTGTTTCTTTCTCTCTCTTACCTCTTTCTCCCTTCTGTAACCTCCCTTCTTCCCTTTCGGCCCCTCCTTTGGGAAGCAGAAAGTCATCTAAACATGATGGATGACGCCAGCACTTAATTCGGTGTCTACACTGTTTTAAAAATATTGACTTTCTGGTCCTCAAGCTTTCAGAGACAGGGAGGCTATTTAGAGCAGAAGTCAGGCCTCCCAGTCCTACTCCCTTTTCTCAGGAGGAGGCAGCACAACCTGCTATAAAGGGCGGGCTTCCAAGGCACAGAAGCTGCTGGGAAGCCCACTGCTCATTTCGAGCCTTTTGCTCAAACTCTCTGAGTCCAAGCTCCCCAGATCCTGACAGCAGGGCTGCTGAGAGATGAAGACCATGTGTGCGACACATGGAAGGGTGCCTGCGCACAGCAGCCATCCAAAGCGCAGCACCGACCAACTCTAAGTTCTTAACGTTCTTCCACAACTGCTTACAGGCAGCCCCTATGTAGCTTCCTCTTAGCACAGTGCCTACCTGTGGCATGGTTTGTCATTTCTTTCTGGTTTCTTTTAAAACAAATGATTTGGAAAACGCCTACTTTTCATGTCTAAGAGGTGTGTGTGTGTGTGTGTGTGTGTGTTTGTGTGTGTGTGATTAAGACTGTACAAATCCGGAGAATTTACCAATGGCTTTGAAAATATGGCAGCCACGTCCTTAACTTGTCCTCTACACTGTATTGAAACACATTCATGTAAGGAATTTATGATTTGGTTCTTTTAAAGTCTACCCAAATTACACTGTTAAAATAACTTGTCCCCTGCCCCCATCAGATTAGCAAAGACTTAATAAGTAAACAAAGAGTCCTACAGTAAAGATGTGGGCCCAGTGGCATTCCACAGTGCCTATGTTTGCATGAGTATAACCTTTGGTCTCTAGAGCAAAGACAATTGCATCACAAGTTCTAAAGTGACTCTTGTGCATTCAGCAAGGCAGGAATGCATTCTTTCCCCCCAAAACATTCCTATACATAGGATAATAGATAATAGATAATGTTCATTATCTCAGAACTTACAAACAGCAAGAAGAAGAAGAAGAAGAGGAGGAGGAGGAAGAGGAAGAAGCAACTTTATGTCTATCAGTGAGAGAGTGGACATAAATACAACTTAATGTTCATCAATAGGGAACAAGACAGATAAGTTTTATAGCCATCCCCACAGAATATCAGGCAGCTATTAAAATCTATGCTAACAAAAAAGAGATGGGACCAGCTAATGAAGTAATCAGGTATAAGGTAGTACTGTCTACAAGTATGAATTTAGTGTGCTGAAGTGATTCTCAAGTGGTAATCACAAGAGGAATTTACAATAAAGAACTAGAAATACACATGGTGATCAAATCCATCCCAGTCCCTGGAAGGACACACTGGACTTGCAGCCCACATCCTAATTTGAAAAGAAGTGTGGGCTGAGCTCAGTGCTGATTCAGATTCTTTTAATGAACGACAGGAAATGAATGATGGGAAAGTAGATAATAAGACTAAGAGTTATGTCTAAGGCTGATACACAGCCTCTTTGCACTTTGAGTTGGAGGAAGTCTGAGTGAGTTTCATTCCACTTGCACTGATGGTCTCTTGCCTGGCTAAGACATTTTGGCAGAGTTTGCTGAGATGAGGGAAGGTCTAGAAATGGAAAGGTAAAGACTCACAACCTGCTCAAGCATACGTTTTCACAGTGGAGGAGGAAATGAAAATGCATACACACACACGCCTGCAAATACATATTAAAGCACAACAGTTTGCCAAGGAGAAATGCCTCAACATGCCATCTGTCTTCCCCTGGATTCAATAGTATTACCATCACACACTTCATTCCTAGTTTAGAAACTCCTAGTTTATTCCCAGTGCCCACTACAACCACCACCAACACAGACAGGGACAGGAGGCATGCCAGTGTTTTCCAGCTTTCACAAACTTGCTTCTGTATCAATTTTCTTGTCAGTGTTTCTAACTTCTGACTGTACTCCACAGACGTGAAGCAGAATGAGACTTCCCTGGGGGCACTTGTACATCTCATGTGAAACACACTTCTACTCCAGAAAACAAAGAGTAAGGCAAGTGTGGGTGACTGGTAGAAAGAGCATCCTTCTGCTCAGACCTGTTTTGATCTGGCTTTCGTGTGGCCACCGCTCTGCCTGCCTCTGTGCCTGCCTGCTGTCAGTCCAGGTCCCGTTGTCCTTCAGCAGAGCAGACTTCCTACAATCTGCAGTCCTGTGAACCTAAACCTGCTGAAGTTACAGTGCAAAAAAACAGACACAATTTAAACTGCCCCCCTCCAATGTCACAACTCTCAAACCCAAAGGTGTCCATCTGACTGCCAGGAGCAGCATCCACATATTTGTTTGAAGATGTCGGTGTAGAATAATCAATGTGAGTGTGTGTGTGTGTGTGTGTGTGTGTGTGTGTGTGTGGTGTTCTAAGTTGTTTCCTTGTGGTCACTTTCAGGAAATACAGGCATTTCTTGGTTCAGAGCTCGGATTGCAAATCAATATGTGTTTTAGTAGCTTAAAATATTTTTTTTTTTCCTAAACTGGAAGTGCGCTAAGCTAATAATTAACCTTAAACATACCATCACTTCTGCTAAAGACGTTTTCTGCACACAGCCTCAAATCACTCGTTGGGTTAAAGGAATAGACAAGCTGTAGTAAAAGCTCTCCAGGAGACGAGATCGTTTTCATTGGGTCACCTGGGAGCTTCTCGTCTGAAATCTGCAGCTTCTTGGAGGACAGTGTGAGCCGGTAGGAAAGAGCACCCTAAACAAGATACCACCCAGAGCCCAATTATTTTTCTCAGAAAGTTGTCTGAGATAACTTGAGGGCTCCCAGATTGAGTAATTCTTGCGTCCAAGATCGCTATCTGCAGGTTTCCACGGTGTTGATTCTTTTAAGGTGTCCTTATTAACTGCACTGCAAGGGTTCTGATCGCACTTCTCTGGCGGCGGCGGCGGCTGCTGGGGGGAACGAAGAGCAACGCGCCAGAGCTGCGGCAGCCTGGCGGGCCAACTAGACGGCCAGGGGCGAGCACTGACCCCCCCCGCCCCCCAACACACACACGCTGCTCCCACCCTTCCTGACACCCGCGCGCCCCGCAGGCACTCACCGCTGTCCAGCCGCGCGATCTGGGGCAGCCGGTAGGTGCTGACCAGCAGGTCGAGCGGCACCGCCACTGGGCTCCACTTCACATCCTTGAGGCTGCAGCCCAACGAGGGCGCCGGGTCCATCTTCCCCGCCTCCTCCGGGCCCCGCGCTCCCGCGCCCGCGCCACCGCTGGCTGGCGGGCGGCTCCGCACTCCCGCCGCGGGCAGCCCCGGGCAGCGAGGCACAGCGGCGGGGACGCCGGCGCCAGTCTTCAGCGGCCACACCGAGGCATGGCTGGCGCCCCGCGCCCTCAAGCCCGGGGAGCACTGCAGGCGGCCCGGCTGGCTGCGGCGGCTCCCGCTCCGCCTCCGCCTCCCTTGGCCCCGGCTCTGCAGCGGCGACGGCCGGCCGCCCGCCTCCTCCTCGGCCCCCTCCTAGCCTCCGCCTCGAGCACAGTGTGAGGAGGAGCCGCGGGTCCGAGGAACGCCATAGCAGCGCTCCCGGCACTGACTAATCAACAAGGTGCAAGGGACGCCTGCGCAGCCTGCCCCGGCACCGCCTCCGCGCCCGCCTCCCCGCAGGAGGCTCCGCCTCCCTGGAGGACAGGCTCCGCCTCCCCAAAGCAGGCCTCGCCTCTTCGACTCAGGCCCCGCCTCCACTCAACTAGCTCCTCCTCTTTGAGTCGCAGCCTTCACGTCCATGGAACTCGGGCTCCACCTCCAGTAGCTCCGCCTCCCTTCCGGTAGGTTCAGCCTTCCACACGTCCCGCCCCTGAATGACCACGCCTTCTTCTAGCTCCGCCTTCCTCCCCTAGCCCCGCCTCCTTTGCCTCGTCTCTCTTAGGCCCCGCCTCCCTGGTCCCGCCTCCCGCAGGCTCCGCCCTCCGCACATTTCCCTAGCTAAGACCTCTGCCTCTCTCCAAGGCGGCTACCGGGACTGCGGTACCCGCTCGGCTGCGCTCCGCAAGCTTTGGCTCTCGCTCCCCCGTCCGACCGCTCGCGTGCCCTGCAGCCTCCTCTGGCTCGTCCTTTCTGGAGCCTGAGGTGCAGTGCTCTTCGTGGTCCGCAGTGGACCTCTGGCAGCTGCAGGTTGTCCTAGCTTTAGGGACCTGGGTGGGAAAGAGCCTGCTCGAGACCGCTATGGAGCCAGCTTTCCGTGGTGCTTAGCAACCCCGCAACCCACCACGGACGGAGCTGGAAGTTACTGTGACCAGCCTAAGTCAGACATAAATCCCTTTTCCTGAGTCTGCTACCTGAACTTTTGGGGGATGTCGCAAAATGGCACAGCTCTTGAGAGGAGGTGCTGGCACTCAACCCACAGGTCACTTTCCATAATAATGTTGCCCACAGTTTTTGAAATAGGGCTTGCTTGTTGCCAACGGAGCTCAAGACAATAGAAGGGAGTGCGAGGTTCCAATTTTCCAGGCACACCACGGACTTGTCTTTTGAATCTTTTTATGCCCCCACGTGAAGTTAAATTAGGAGAGATGAGTAGTTGCTAAGGTGAACATCCGTTTTCTTCCTCACTTCCTTCCAGGGCCTCTCACATCAGAATATTGGTTACATTACCTACTAAATTCTTCAGCTCAAGTTTTTCATGCTGTGACATTCATGTTAATATTTTCAGTCATGACGAAAAAGATGTATATTAGCAGTTCATAAAGTTCTAAGACTCACTCACATATTTCAAAACCATACCGTGCTAAAAAAAAAAAAACGATTTTTTCTAAATATCTTATTCATTTCGGCAAATAAAGCTTAGACTCAGAGAGAGGAGAAGAAAGAAAGAGAGAGAGAGACAGAGAGAGAGAGAGAAAGAAAGAAGAAAAAGAGACGACAGAAAATATCTGAGGTTGGCTAAGGTCAGGGGTCCTTTATTTGTCCATTAAGTAGATCCTACATCCTTACATGGTGAGCTGATTTTTAAAAAACACTTTGTTTCCATTCTATTCTATTTAAAAGCTTTGGAGAATATGAAAAGTAGTTCTCTCTCCCAAAAAGGACTGGTGACTTATGACCTAACGACAAGACAGAAAGTAAAAAGATTAATGTAATCAGATTTGTTTTTAAATCAATGAAGACCATACATTAGGTTTGCTCTTATTGCTGACTTGGCATAAAAGATTTCATTTCAATCTTAAGTATTTAAGGGAAACCGTTTTCATAAGCCAATTCCTGGTAAGTTTTCCATCCTAAAGAAATACTTAATAAGCACATTAAGTATGAGATGAAGCCTTGGTAAGACTGCAAGAAAAAAAAAATCAACTGAACTGACAATATTCCAAATATGTTTTGGGGATTATTAAACCAATATTGGGTTTATAAAAACACAACACCAGAGTTGCTTAGATCTTAAACGTTTCCCTGAAGACCATGTATGAGAGGATGAGAGGATGTGGGGAGCTGCTCAGAGATGGTGCAGCCTTTAAGAGGTTAAGACTGATGAGAGGCTCTGTGTTACTAGGATGGGGTGCCTCTGGGGAGGATAAACTGTGGAACATGGCTTCTTCCTTTTCCTCTCTTTTGCTTCCTAGAGGTGAACACTTGGCTCCACCCCATAGCGGCCCCAATCCATATGGGCTGCACCAGAAACTTTGAAAGTGTGGACCAACTATAACCAGATTTGTTTAAAGTATTTGTTATGACAAAGGAAACCTGATTAGCACAGCCAGTGAAGTGTGCAGCAGATTGTTTATAAACATGTTTTCTTTCTTTCTTTAATGAGGGGGGGAGAGAGAAAATATGCCACATGTGTGCTAGTGCTCATAGAGCCAGTTGTAAGTAGTTGTGAGCCGCCTGATACGGGTGCTCGGAACCAAATTCAGGTCCTCTAGAAGCATAGCGAGTACTCTTATCCACTGAACCATCTCTCCAGTCTCATAGCGTAATCTTTAGGTAGTTAAAAATATCACCTCCAGACCAGTGGGATGGCTGGATGGATAAAGGCCCTTGCTGCCAAGCTTGATAACCTGAGCTCAGTCTCCAGGATCCATATGGTAGAGAGAACTGACTCGCACAAGTTGCCTTCTGACCTCCACACACATAATAAACAAATTTAAATATTCAAATACTACATACGCTCAATTCTGCAGATTAGTCAGTGGTGCTGCTCTTGTACAGGATCTTGGAAAACTGTGGCTTCTTCTTCTGAACACTGTTAAGTTAATAATAGTGTTCATCTCAGAAGGCTTGTACGAGAATCTAGTCATTGAATACATATTGACATATTAACATAATGTCTGATACATAGGAAGTACTTTGCTCTTATAGGTTGAGTATTCCATATGGAAGGGCTTGAGACGAGGAGCATTTCAGCTTTGTTTTTAACTTTAGGATATTTGCGTATACCTAATAAGATATCTTGAGGAGTGAAATCCTAATTTAAACATGAAATTCATTCATTTTCTTACATACCTTAAGTATATACTATTTCATATATTTAATGTATATCATTTATATTTTGTATATACCTAAGTTGCATGATTTTTTTTAACATTTTATTGTAGGTGCTGAGGCTTGAACCCAAGGCTTCGCACATGCTCATCCTTATGGAGATAATTTTACATGTTGTTTTCAATGTCTCTGTGACTGTCATTTGAGGCCAGCTCTAGAATTTTTCACTTACCCTGTCAGTACTCAAAAAAATGTAATATTCGAACATTCCTGATTTAGAATTTTAATTTAGGAATGTTCAGCCTGTGCTATTAAAAGTGCTATTGGACCTTGTGGGGCTCCCTGTCTCCTCTAGGTTATACTAATTCCTCCTTCCTTCATATGATTTCCTACACTCTGCTGAAGGCTTGGTTATTGGTCTCAGCATCTGCTTTGATACACTGCTAGGTAGAGTCTTTCAGGTGCCTTCTGTGGTAGGCTACTGTCCTGTTACTTGTTTTCTCCTACTTCTAATGTCCATCCCCTTTATCTTTCTAAGTGAAGATTGATCACCTTACCCCTGGTCCTCTTTCTTGTTTATCTTCCTTAGGTGTACATATTTAAGTATATTTATCCTATCTTATAGGTCTAGTACCCACTTATAAGTGAGTATATACCATGTGTCTCTTTCTGCTCCTGGGATATCTCACTCAGGATGATTTTTTTCTAGAGCCCACCATTTGCCTGCAAAATTCATGATTTCCTTGTTTTTAATTGCTGAGTAATATTCCATTGTGTAAAAGTACCACAATTTCTTTATCCATTCCTCCATTGATAGACATCTGGGTTGTTGCCAGGTTCTGGCTATTACGAATAAACATGCTACAAACATGGTTGAGCAAATGTCCTTGTTGTGTACTTTTCTGAGACTGTTCATCCAACCAAGGACCATTCATGGATATAACCTACAACTCCTGCTCAGACATAGCCCATGGTAGCTCAGTATTCAAGTGGGTTCCCTAGTAAGGGGGACAGGAATTGTTTCTGACATGAACTCAATGCCTGGCTCATTGAGCTTCCCCTCCCCGCTGAGGGAGGAGCAGCCTTGCTAGGCCACAGATAAGGACATTGCAACCATCCTGAAGATACCTGAAAAGCTAGGGCCAGTTGGAAAGAAAAGAGGAGGACACCCCCTCTCAGTGGACTTGGAAGGGGGCAGGGAGGAGATGAGGGAGGGAGGGGAGGATTGGGAGGGAAAGAGGGAAAGGGCTACAGCTGGGATACAAGTGAATGTATAAAATTAATTAAAAATAAAAAATATTTAAAAAACAAAAGCAAAAAAAAAAAGAAAATGAAACAAACCAATAAAAAAAAAGTGCTATTGGAGAGGACAAGTTTTAGAGAAGAGATGAAGAGACAAAATGAAATTGAAAGAAGGGCTTAGATTTAGGAAAAACAGCACACAGTCAAGGAACAGTCCTCAATGAGGAGACCTTAACATAGGACTTCCCTCCATGACTCAAGAGTCTGCAGAATGAATGAGCCACGGCGAGCCTGGCAGAACTGGCCTTGATAAGCCCAAGGGTGACCTGGGCAGGAGACAGCCGAGGACTTCTGTGACAGACTCACCCCAGCCCCCTAACTGTGCGCCCACAGTTCACAAATGCACAGCTTGTCCATTCTCTGCACTATCAGCTCTGCAAGATAAAAACATTACATACTGCTCTTCCCATATCGCAGAGTCCTGGAGCACATAATAAGCAGAGTCAAGTGTAATGACAAAGTTCACGGCCCTCGTGTTTCTCTGGAAATTCAGGCTTTTTCCCTTCTGAGAAGTTCTATGTTTGCCAGAAGTAACCTAGAAGTCAGTCCCTTGCTAGATTCTTGTACAATGTCCGTGTCCCTTTTGTCCAAGGAATAAAGCATAAAACCCTTTGGGCAACCACATGTTCCCTTCAGTGACTGATCTGCACCCCCCCCCCGACTCATTTTTATCGGTTGCCTTCTGACATCATATGATACAGGTACCCTCTCAGCCTAGACTGCCTTCTTCCTTT